TACACACATATACATGTATGCTATATTTATATATATGTATATATAATATGCTCTATTCATATACACACATACAATTCAACCAATTCTTGGTTGATTGACTTCCATACAGTCTGGTCATTATGAGCTAATTCCAATGATTTTGATATATGTTGATGTTTCTGTTGGCCAACTTTTTTATACTTATGTTTAAGGTCACTTTTTTTTACTACAAAAGACTCAATAAAATATTTCAACTTATTTAATAAATGTAATTTATTCAGCTTCATTACATAATTCATAGAAAATGACTCTTGATGCCAATTGACCATTTCTTTTTCTTTTAAGATTTATTTATTTATTTGAAAGTCATAATTAGAGAAAAAGGAGAGGCTGAGAAAAAGAAAGAGAAAGATTTTTCCATCCACTGATCGGCTTTCTCCCTAAACAACTAAAACAACTAGGGCTGGGCAAGACCAAAGCCAGCAGCCAGGAGCTTCTGAGTTTCTCACTTGGGTTCAGAGACCAAAGGACTTGGGCCATCTGCTGCTTTCCTAGGCACATTAGCAGGGAGCTGCATCAGAAGTGGTGGAGCCACAAGCTGACTTACCTCAAACGGTAGAGTTAGAAACATACCAGGGGATTCCAATTCAATCCCATCAAGGTGGCATGTACCAATGCCATCTCACTAGTCCCAGTGATCAATTTCTGTTCACAATTGATCATAATGATAGGACTAAGCACCAAAGGGATCACATAAACAAGAATAGTGTCTGCAAATACTAGCTGATAGAATCAAAAAGGGAGAGAATGATCCAACATGGGAAGTGAGATACACAGCAGACCCATAGAATGGCAGATGTCCTAAACAGCACTCTGGCCTCAGAATCAGCCCTTAAGGCATGCGGATCCAGCTGAAAAGCCCATGAGAGTATTTCAGGCATGGAAAGCCAAGACACTCTGGGGAAAAAAAAAAAAAAAAAAACTAAATGAAAGATCTCCGCAAGTGAGATCCCAGTGGAGAGAACAGGTCATCAAAGAAGGAGGTACCTTTCTCTGAAGGGAGGAGAGAACTTCCACTTTGACCATGGCCTTGTCTAAATATTATCATAGTCAGTGAACTCAGGGGGCTTCCATAGCCTTGGCAACTCATGACAAGAGCCTAGGGTGATTACTGATGCCATAAACAAGAGTGTCAATTTGTTAAGTCAACAACAGGAGTCACTGTGCACTTACTCCTCATGTAGGATCTCTGTCCTTAGTGTGCTGTACATTGAGGTTTAATGCTATAACTAGTACTCAAACAGTATTTTTCACTTTATGTTTCTGTGTGGGAGCAAACTGTTGAAATCTTTATTTAATGTATGCTAAACTGATCTTCTGTATATAAAGAGAATCGAAAATGAATCTTGATGTGAATGGAAGGGGAGAGGGAGTGGGAAAGGGGAGGGTTGCAGGTGGGAGGGACGTTATGGGGGAGGGGGCATTGTATTCCATAAGCTGTACTTTGGAAATTTATATTCATTAAATAAAAGTTAAAAAAAAAAAGAAGTGGTGGAGCCAGGATTCAACCCAGTGCCCATATAGGATGCTGGCACTTCAGGCTCAGCTTTGCCAGAGTGCTGGCCCCTAACTACTCTTTACTAATAATCAATAAAACATTCATGTGATGAAGGGATTAGTCACAAAAATACCTCAAGTACTCTGAAGAAATTTAAATATAGTCAATGCAATTGCAGTGCCATAGGAATAATACCACAACTCAAATTTGACAAACTTGAAAGTAGTTGTATTCACAAGGTAGTGGACTCTGATTTACTAGCTTTCAAAAATAAGTCTTTAAGAATTTTACACCATAGTTAGCTCTATCCTAGAAGAGTGGTTTCATCAGACAATGAGTCATGAATACTTTCATATTATACAAATGTGCCATTATATATGTTAAGATATTATGCTGATTGAGATAACATTAATGGAATTATTTAGGTCACATCATAACTTTACGCATTTCGCATCATTCTTTTTTAATTTCTAGGTACAAGGCAGGTAAACAACATGAGTTTGAATAGAATACTGTGTGTGAAATTGGCTATTGATGAGCTACTATGACATTTTCAAATGGCATACACTAAGCATTGCTATAACAAAAACGTATATGAAGGAAAAAAGTCACTCCCAAATTACTTATATATTTTAAATATAGGTTTTTTAAAATTCATATACTTGAGAGGGAGAGACACAGAGAAAAAGAGAGAGAGAACATGTTTTTGCTCCCCAAATGCCTACAATGACCTTAACTGGGGCCAAAGCCAGGAACTAGGGACTCAATCCAGTTCTCTCACAGGTGTGGCAGGGACCCAACTACTTGAGACATCACCGCTGTCTCCCAGGGTATACATTAGCAGGAAGCTGTAACTGGGGCAGAGCCAGAACTCTGCCACTCCAAAATGGGATGAGGGAATCAACGCTTCTTGTGTCTCAACCCAACCAGCATTTGGACTGGAGCTTATACCATCAGCTCTACTGTTTCTCCAGCCTTGATTTGGACTGTGAGGTGGCATTGTGGCACTAGTGGTGAAACCACTGTTGTGATATATGTATCCTACATCAGGTGCCTGGTTTGAATTCTGGATCCTCTGCTCCCAATCCAGCTTCTGAGTAGCCTACCTGGGAGGCAGCTGATGGTGGCTCAAGGTCCTAGGGCCCTGTCACACATGGAGTTCCCTGTGTCTGGCTTTGGCTTGGCCTAACCCTGGCTATTGAGGGCATTTGGGGAGTGAATCAGCAGATGGAAGTTTTCTCCCTTTCTCTCTATCTCCTTTTGTCTTCGTGTCTTTGAAATAAATAAATCCTTAGAACCAAAAAAGATTTCAACTGGAATTACAAATCAGTTCTCCTGAGTCTCCATTTCACCAACTGCAGACCACGGAATCTCTCAGCCTCTGTATCATGTGATTTAATCCCGTATCTAGCTAGCTAGCTGTCATCTACCTGTTGTCTTCTGTTGGTTCAGTTCTCTAGAGAAGCCTAATAATACACACGTTAATGAATAAATGGTGGAAAATCACATGCTAGGTCCTACATGCTTCTACCAAGAAGAGACGGACGTTTCTGAGCCATTCACTTGCCTGCCTCAACTTGTGGATTTCATGAAACTAGATTCCATGCTAATACTTGAACATCGTTAGGAATGTGCACTGAATAATGAACGATGGCTAACAGGAATTCAGATCACTCATAAAGAAGTATCCCTGGGTTCCAGTAGAGTGCCATTCTTGTCACATCACTTGGCTATCCTTCAGACACATAAAGAAGGTCAAATCCATAAGACAAAGAAATGTCAAAAGGAAGCCAAAAAATAGAGAGGTATGGGGCTGACACTGTGGCATAGCGAGTAAAGCCATCGCCTGCCAGGCTGACATCCCATAAGGGTGCCAGTTCAAGTCCCGGCTGCTCCACTTTCAATCCAGCTCTCTGCTAATAGCCTGGGAAAACAGTGGAAGATGGGCCCAAGTCCTCTACACCCACATGGGAGACTGGAAGAAGCTCCTGGCTCCTGATTTCATATGGATCCAGTTCCGGCCATTGTGGTCATTTGAGGAGTGAATTAGTGGATGGAAGACATCTTTCTTTGCCTCTGTAACTCTGCCTTTCAAAGAAATAAATGAATCTTTTTAAAAAAAAATAGAGAAGTATAAGCAAACCTGAGGCCTAATGAATATGACTCTACTGCATTCTTTACTAAATAATTTAATATGTGTAAAAAACTTAGAATAGCACCTGCATATCATAATGCTCAAGATATAAATTTTTCCATTGAAATTTCTATTTGCAACTGCTATGCCATTATTATTTGATTATTATTTAATTTTTAATTTCTATTATCATTATTAAGAATGGTATTCTACAGACAAAACTTATAATTCATAACCCTCTTAAAGAACACTTCTTTCTGAAGAGTACTCAGTATAACACTGTTGCCATGTCCTGGATCACAGAAGTAAACCCAAGAGTGAAGTAGGAGTGAAATATCAGTGAAAGAGATTTTTCCATAAATTGATTGAGGATCACCTTTGGAAAAAAATTTCCTTGAATTGAATATTTCCTTCAAATCATTTTGAATTAAATAGAGTGACTTTGAAAGTTAGGAGCAAGTGACATGTTTGCTTTCAGTTGACATAAAGGAGATACATTCATTTAAATACAACCCTATTCTATAGTTTCATCAAGAGAACTGAATATAGTCAGTTCAAATGAGTTATGCTGAAGACAGATTTTCATGAAGAAAAGTATGAAAGATGAATTAAAGTAATATAAATAAGGATGATGTTTGGTCTGTACACTAATGGGTAAAACTTCATACACTAATTAGCCCAGTTTCCCGTTATAATGTGAGGTGCTATTGGTCATAAATCAGATCAAGGGTTTTCCAATATGAAAGAATTGAGCTGGGTCCCCAGACTCAGTCATTTAGTGGCTGTGACACGACTTTATTACTTAATCTCCTTAAGTTTCAATGTCTTCTTCTGTGCTATGTAGAAAATAATCTCCATAATCTAATTACTTCATAGGGCTATTAAAGGATAATCTTCAAAGATGAAATGATACCCTTATGAAATGTTTGGAGAATAGTGTCTGGCGTTCAAAGGAGACACAATCTGGTAACAATTATTGTTATTAGATACAGTAATGACATTCAGAATCCATTAAATTAGCCAACAGTATATCCATATTCCAATAGGCTATTGTTAACAAACCGCCCTGAAAACCTGCAGCACATAATACCTGTAACAAAGAACACAATCTTACTCTTATTTTATGGGTCATGAATTTGGGCAGGCATCAGCTGGATGAGCAGTTGACTCCAGGCAGTATCAGTTGAGATCACCCAGTGGCACTCGGTTGTCATTGTCAGGTGACCTGGTCTGGAGGTTTCAGAAACAGCTGGACTCATGTTTGGCACCAGGGAAGCAATAACTGGAAGGGAAGCGATAACTGGAAGGTACAGCTCTGCTGAGGCTCACCTGCATTGTCTACATATGACTCCTTTCCAACATTGGTGGTCACTAGGTAACTGAACTTCATAGGTGGCTGTTCAGGGTTTCCAGAGAGAGTATTCTGACGGATGGGAACTGGCCCAGTGTTACTGCCACAGGATTCCATTCTTATCACAATCTGCTCTGATTGAAGGAGAAGGGACAAGGAATCAATTGTTCAGAGGAAGAAATGGCCATATTTAGTACTTCTCAGGAATAGTCTAAGACCATGAAAGCAGCATATTAATATGTACATGGATTATGTAATGTGACATGAGGTATCCTGAGAACTTTATGGATCTGGAGCACCGCATATGCAGTATCAACATAGGTCACACTCATGTGCTTGCATGTTGCATTGGTTCCTTTGTCATGGGTACCTTGAAATGCTCTATTTTTCAGCATTGTCAAAATACTTGTGAAGTCAGTATTCTAAAAATCATGTCTGAAAGATTTTTTCTTAAGTGTTAGATTGTAAATATCTTGCATTTTGTGGACCAAATACTATCCCTGTCCCATATTCTGGATTGTTTAACAATCCTTTAAAAGTACAAAAAAAAAAAAGTCCATAGTTCAGGGGCCACAGAAAATCAAAACAAAAGCCATCTTTGACCTGCAGGCTATAACTGGCCTACCCACCTCTGAAATAAATGAGAACAATGTCAGTGTTCTAAACTATAAAAAGTATAAAAACAAAATGAAGATTCTGAAAAAATGGAGGACTTTAACTCCAAATCCTTAGAAGAGATTAAAAGGAATAGAAAAGAACTAACTTCTATTAAGAATTTTACATGTTCAAGCCAGTGGTGGGTGTTCTCCTAAAGTTATCTTAATTACTACTCATGACAATTTAAAAGGTGGCTTATTATTCTCATGTTATAGACAGAATTAAAATATGAACTTTTGAAGATAAGTCCCAACTAACACAGGTTCTGATAACAATACAGAATATAAATACATGCTGGATAAATTGAATTAATTGATAAAAGCCAAGAGTCAGAGAGATTAAGCAGTAATCAATATTACAAATGGACAAAGTGGAAGCTCCGTAATTCAAAACCAGTTTCTGATTCCAGATACTTTGCCCAAATCTCTCCCATTATATTGCTGTGTTAGTCCTAAACCCAAACATCTTGTCCAAAAATATTTCTTGTATCAATATGTTTATTGTTCCTAGGAAACTATCAGTGAGCAGTATTCACCTATAAATTTTATTATGTAAAAACTGAGTATGTATTTTATGACTATTCACATTTTATTCCTGATAGCTACTCTTCATAAGATACACTCTTAATTATTACAGATTTATAAGGCCTGAAGTTTACATAATCTGGGTGGGTGGCCTTCATTGAGGAAATAAATACAAAATATGATATAACCATAACTGGAAGATAAATACCTATTTAAAGTTATACAAGAAATTCCACCTTTTAAATATCTGACAAATAAAGAATGTATCATAAAGTTACCCTCAAATTCATTAATTCTTTATTATACTTCTGTAATTATACTTCTATAATACTTCCTTTTTGAATTGTGGTATAACTAATTCTTCTAAAAAAGATATGTAGAATTAATCTAAAGTTAAGACATAGAATAACTAAAATGGGCTCTTAAAATGTTATTGCATGTATTCAGCTTCATAATTGCGATGACACAATGTACTTTGACTTATTGACTGGGAGTTGCATGAGTTTTGTCACTGAAATCTTTGTTTACTTAGGCTGTCTTTACTGCATTGGTGGATATTGAGTGTGTCAGGAAAAGATGTGTCAGATGTGATGATTTCAACACACTGAGACAAAACCGTCTAACTACATACACAAAGATTCTGTTTCTGGTTCAACTATTTGTACACACATATGCAGGGATTCTGATAAATTTTGTAGTTGCACAATTTCTATTTAAAAAAAATCCTCAAAAGAATACTGTGTTAAAGAATATCTGATGTCTTATCAAGTAATTCCTAAGAAGAAAGCATTTCTGCTCCGATTAAACATTGTCTAAAAGGAAAAGTTTTTCTCAACCCTCTTCTGTGCAGGTCTTGGGAGAGTGCAAGTCAAATTAACAAAAGACAAGCTATAGAGAAAAAACATTTGTGTATGTATGCATAGACGTTGACAAAGAAATATAACTCAAAATATAACTTAAAAGGTGATGGAGGAGGCAAAATGACTCATTGCAGGGAACAAATAATAGGAAAATTCCATACATCCAAAGGAGAATAATTGGAAGACATGACAGTTTTATGACAGTGTCTGTTTATCTTATCCAGATGCTGTCTGTGCTGACTTCTTGGCTTTGGTGATAAGCGTCCTCTTCCCTGGCTGTGAAACTCTAGGGAAGAGATCTACGACAGCTGAATTATTTGGGGAGGCTTTCCTTTTACGATGATAAGGGCTGTTCAGCAAAAGCCTTTTCCTGCAGTTGCTGATTCTGAAATAGGAGCAATTCAAAATATTCCTTAGGCCACGGTGGCATAGTCTGAACACTTGCAGCACTGATGAGAAACATGCACGTTCTTCACTTCGAGTTTTAGAAGGCTAATGACTGGAACAACCTCTTGTAGACTAGCCTGTGACGCCACACATCCCAGTCTTTGCCATCGGAACAAACCTCTGGCACAGCACCTTTGGGCCACCCAATGGGGCAAGCTGGCCAAGTCGATGCTGGGAAGGTTCTGGGAAGGCAATCTACACGATAAGGGCTTGCAAGGATTTTATTGTGGTTGAAAGCTAGTGTGAACTCACAGGCACACACCTTATCACACACAAATTAAATGTATCCTTACCTCAACTTTCCTTTAGCTGGATTCCCAAAATGCCTGTGATTTCTCTAGCGCCAGTTAAACAACAAGGGTGAAAAGAGGAAGGTGGAATGGAAGAAAATCATATTCTTATCTTACTATGATAAAAACGCTCACTAAACACGTATGACTGTGCAAAAGCACCCGCAGCCCCGCCGCACTACCACCACCATCTCCAGATCTTAGGGAGGCTGCTGCAAGTGAGAGGCCCTAAAAAGCTGAAGCCTCATTACCATCACAGTAAGTCTGCCCTGGAGAGCAATTCAGGAACTGCAAACAATGGCAATATACACCTATGGAGAGTAACTTGCTACTTGAAGGCTGTATTGGTTTATAGACCTTTGTAAAAGACTACTTTATAGAGGAAACTAAAACAGAAATAGGGGCACTGTTTCAGTTTCAGTGATACCTTTTTAAGTTCACCATGTTTTGCTCTTGCTCTCCCTCCTGTATTTTAAATAAATATCATTTATAAGGAAGATAGAAGCAGCATCTCCTGTTTGTTACATGAAAGGGAACCTTTCTATTAAATATCACTAAAAAGGAAAGGCCTGATAGCATTTCTTCCCTGTGAAAAAGCAGACACAATCTGCTAACATCTGCAGAGAGAGGGAAACTCTCAGAAACAAGGATCTAGCAAACATTTCAGTCAGTACAGAATTTACATGTGTGCTGTTGATATATACTGTTACTAATCACTGTTGTTAGTTCAATCATGCATCTAAGCGCTTCATATTTTATACATACGTTTTCCAAATTAAAAGTTAATATTTCTATCTTCATAATGTATTTATACTGACCTCTTAATAAACACTGAGAATCAGTTCCACACACAAAATAAACAAGGACCATAAATACAGGGAATTATTTCACTTTTCTAACTCATTTTTATCAAAACTCTTGCTCAAACAGCTAACTTCTACAGCAGATACTAGTAAAAATAATTATAAACTAAACTAAAACATGTTTGTTAATGCTAAAAATCACGAGATAAAAATTTATGTAGCTGTATGAATAATTTGTCATGCCAGTGGAGTTGTATTTCTATCTGAGGCTGAATATCACATTTGCTAACTTATAGAGATGTATACCTGAAACTCACATTGTATACATTGATAAGCCTTTAATTTAGCTTTCCTTGGTTAATTTTAAAGTCCATGTTAGTCAGCAGTTCTCTAGTAATCTTCAGCCAATTTGAGAGGCTGGTGTTATGGTTGCTACCTGCCACACTGGTATCCCATCCACTCAGGATCCAGCTCCCTGCTAATGTACCCGGGAAAGCAGCGAAAGATGGTCCAAGTCCTTGAGTCTCCCAAGTGGGAGACTCTGATGGTGTTCTGAGGTCCTGACTTCACCCAGCCCACCTGACTGTCACAGTCATTTGGGGAGTGAACCAGTGGGTAGACGCTCTCTCTCTCCCTCTCTCTCACTCTGTAACTCTGCCTTTCAAGCATAAATAATTTTTTTAAATAAAAAATAGCCAATTTGACTCACAGAGACCTGAATAGTCCTCCTCTTTACTCAGTCCAGGACTAGACAATAGCTTCATCTAACCACCAGGGGGCCAAGAAGGTCAATCCTGCCACAGCTCAAGAGTCCAAACCAGAAATACGGGAGAAAAGTTCTCCATGACTACCACATAAAGATCAGCATCGCCGAGTGGAAAATTCATTGCTGCTGTATAGCCAGCTAATTTTTTTTGTATTTCCCACCCTAGAAACTTGTTAAATTATGTATTTCTAAATAAAATTGGTCAAATTTGCTTGAGTATAGTTTTGTACCATAGAATATTGGCTATTAACATATGAAGTGATCTTGTTAGCGCAGATCTACATAGGGACTAAAACGTAAAGCTGATCCTTGATTTTCAACTATTCTTAGTACAAGCAAGTCACTTATTTGAGTATTATATCCACACAAGCCATTATAATGAGATTTTTTTCCCCAGAAACCCTAACATGCATATCATCTCACTGAGGGTTCATTATTCATAGCAGTATTTGACATGCTGTGCCACGATAGTGAAGACATGCCAAATGTCTCAAGTTCGTGCTGCAGAGGTATTGGCATGCCCAGTTTTATCATTGATAGTGAAAGGGGAGCAGGCTTAGATGAACCCAAATAATAGGGATGTTGCTTTTGACTAGTTGTCTTTTCCCAAAAACTCAATTAGATTTTACAAAATACTGTTTTTACTAAGCATAGATTTCTTGAGGATATATGAAAATTAATGTGAAGTTGAAAAGAATCCATAAACTAATTATCTTGTAAATAGAAGACAATTTGTCAGTTTTACTAACTGATGAGATTTCTATATATGTGGCAATAACTGCAAATCCGTGCAATATTACATATGTTTTGGCATTCAAACTTCAGAAATTGAGAAAAAAATGAACTGTCAATTATTTAAAGTGAACGTCATTTCTGTCAAGTGTTATTTTAAAACCTAAAACACTCTATTGAAATATGAAAACCAAACAGTCTATTAGTTAATAGAGAAACACTAAAAATTTATTTTCAAAAGTTTCTTTTCTTTATAAACAAGATTTTTATACTAGCCTTGTGAAAATGTTTTATAGTTACCAAATAGGTAGTATGAGTCAATTTTGTTTGGTTTCCAACTTGCGGTCTTTTTTATTGATATATTGTAATATATAGTTTTGTATACATGATTTCATTATCTAAATAGAACAACTTTTTCTATTTCTTGGCTAGAGACGAATTAAATAACCACTGATGCAAGCAGTTATTACCTGCTTAAAAGGAAATCTGTGGTTTCCTTATTTAAGCTGCTGAGTTTTAATGTCCCTCCAAAAGGCTGTTATTGCAATGAATAATTTAGCCATTTCAGTCTACTACACAGTTTAATACTACAATCATGTACTTAAAACAGCGTAATACGTCTAGAGTTTCTCACAACCCCATGGATTAGGCTTACACTTATTGTTAGACACTAGTTATGCATTGTCATATTTACTCTTTGAAAATAACCTATGTTTAAAGACACCCATCACTGAGAACTTAGAAGACTGAGGCATAATATCTACCAAAAGTTGCCTGAGGAATATTTGATCCTAAGAGGCCTCCAATTTCCAAACATGTCTATACATGGCTAAGATGTGGAAAACCTCACAACGATGAAAGGTCAATTGATTTGGCGATGCAGGGTGTCCTTTCTTTTGCTTGTCCCTTGGTGGCGTTCTTGAGTCACTTTCTCCCTTTCAGTCAAACTGCTTTTTTTTCCCCCTTTGCAGAACTGGCTATCACGTTTACTGTATTTAACCTTCTTTCTCGTACGAGTGTGAACACAGCGTCCATTATAAACGACAGTCCCCCGAGATCCAATCTCCGGCACCTCCTTCTTGGTATTCTTACCCGTAAACTTTCTCTCTGACTTCCGCGTCCTTTTCTGGGGGTTGCAACTACACTCCACGGACTCTGAATGCTGTTTTTCAGCCCAGGCACTGACGTTTCTTAACTGCAGTCTGCAGCAGGAGAGGCTACTAGGTAAATTTTCAAGAGAAAAAGTTAAAGAATAACTACCGAATATTCTAACTTCAAGGTTTGATATGTGTCACAGAAAAAAAAAAAAAAAAAAAAAAGAATCACTGGCCAAGCTTCCATCAGATGGCTATTAGAACAAGAGAGCATTACGCTTCAATTTCGTGTTTGTACTTGGGTCTAAAGGGACATTGCTGATTGTCCTTTAAGGGGGCGAGGGGGAGACAGCAAAGAATAAGCAGAAAGCCTCAACATTGCCTCGAACGCTTTGCTTTCTGCATGCGATGACGTCCTAGCACTCGGTGCAGGCTGCAGGGCGCTGCTCGCGCGCTCTCCGCTCGGTCTGGGCCGCGGCCGAAGCAGCAGCAGCAGCAGGAGCAGCGGGAGCAGCAGGCGCTTTAATTTATGGCAGCCGGTTATACTTTCGATCCCATTTCCTCCTGAACCCTTTCCTCTCAGACCGGCCTCGGGTCTGAAAGCCGGGCGGGGATGGTGGGTGGGAGCGAAGCCGGATATCATACTCCCTGGGTGAGGTCTGGTCCCAGGGGGGGATTAAGTCCCCCGGTTCCTTTTAATGAAATTGCTGAGCACTTGTGACACTAAGACTGCGGAAACGGGGCGGGGGTGGGGGAAAGGCTTCTCGCCTCCATTCATCCTCCGCGCTGCCGGGAGGCTTGCAGGGGGAGTGCCAGCCGCTCCAGACAGGGGGCGGAAGAGGGCCAGGGGGCTCCCTGCGGGCAGCCGCCCCCTGCCCCGCACCCCACCCCGGCTGTTCCGTTGCTTCCCTCACGCCAAGAACCGCGCCGCCACTTGGCTGCTCCTGCGGAAAGGTCGGAGGCGGGGGAGGGCGCAAAGCCGGGAGGCTGCACGGTCCCGGCTGTCTGGCCGCGCTGCTCTCCATGCAGCGCACGTCGGGCCCATTTCCCACGCTGGCTTGGCTCCGCGGCGGAGCTGGTGGGGAAGACGGTGGGGAGGGCGGGCCGGAGGCTACCTCCCGCTCGCAGAGGAAGCCGCTGCACTGTGAGGACGGGCCGCACCCCCTGGTCACCCGGGAAGACGTGGGCAGCGCTCCGCTCCGGGGGCGGGGAGGGGAAGCCGCCTATCAAGTGTGCGCCTGGCCGGTGCGCGCCCGAGCGGCGGGCAGAGGCCCAGAGACGCGGAGGGGCCCGTTCAAGTTCACCGTCTGGAGGGGACGCAGGAGTGCACAACGTCGCTGCCCGCACGGCTGCCTGAAGTTTGCAAAATCTTAGTAAAGGCGGCGAAGGCTGTTGAGTGCATTGCACCATATTGCCGCGCGTCGGAATGCACGGCGCCGGCGACCGCCTTTGACTTCGGGCCGGCGGAAAGGAGGAATCGAGGTCGGGGCGGAGGGGCGGGAGACGGGCCCTGGGATAAACCCGTGTTGCTGCACCGCGTAGGGGAGCTCCGGAGTTCCTGCCACTTAGCCGGCCGCCTTGGCGCTGCGGCTCCCGCCCCCGCCCCCGGCTGGAGACTGCGGCGGTGCGCACTGAGCCTGCGCGCCGGGCTTTTCTCGCTGATGCTGCAGATACCGAACTGAGCGGCTCGGGGGGCGGCCGCGCGAGGGTTACGGGGAAGGCCGGCTTCCCGGCCCGAGCCCCGGAGGAGGAGCCGCCACCCCCGGAGTGCGACTGCTGTAGCAGACTGGGAAACACTCGCCAGCTGCCTGGCGCACTACACACACACACACACACACACACACACACTTCCCTCCTCCGCGTTTCCACGATCCCGGGCGGGCAGAGCTTGGGAATCTGCCGCCGGCCCCCGGGCCCCCTCGCCCCTGCTCCGCGCGCTTCATCTGCTCGTAGACTTTCCTGGTGTTTGTCTTGTTTAAATCATTCCGCCTCCTCACTCCACACTGAACCGGTTTCCTTTTCCCCCTTGAAGGGGGAGGCCCCTAAATGCATGTGGATTGGGCAGAAGAGCTAATGACCCACCAGATCCCAGCACCAGCCCCCTTTTCTCCTTTGAGATGCCAAGGATTCTCCTCTCCAGATGCGTCCAGTCCGCCTCGACCTTAATCCTGGCGAGGCCCCCTTGGCTTAACAGCCACCCTCATTCCCAAAGCACAGCTTGACTTTAGATCCGATGAGGCGGGGTCTGCGATGGTCGCGATGGAAAACGGGGGAAGCCTCGCGTGGGGGACAGGGGGTGGGAAGAGCAGAGACGAGCTGGTGGCACAAAGTCAAAAAGGAGAGAAAAGGAGCCAGGGACACTTCGGTACACAAAGTTGCCATTTAAGTTTATTTCCCTCGTATCCAGGTAGGTGACGCTACACTTTGCTAGTTACTAAAGGCTGCAGATTTCAGCTCAGAAAATAATACCGAGGCTTCTAACATGTGTTTATTCCCCGAGCGCGCGCGCGCGCACCATCTATCCCCCCACCCACCCACCCACCCACCCAAAGGCAAGCACGATGACAGGAATGCCAAGCATTTAAACAAAGACGGGCATCCTCCCCACCCCCGCCCCATCTCAGCTCTCCGAAGTCCAGGCTCCTCCCCCCCACCCCGAAAAAGGACCCCTCTCCCGCCCTCTCCGGAGTTCGATGGTCTCTTTCAGTGCTGCAGCCCGTCAACAACACCAGCGCGGTGGCTTGTTGGTTTCACTCGCGTTCCCCAACCCACCGGTAATGCCCTAAGCAAAACCGAGACACTTTCGCGGCGGCTGGGAGGAGAGCATCAAGGGGAAAGGGATCCCAGCACCCAGAGCTCTCACTCACGCGCCGCGCGTTAGTCCGAGGAGGAGGAAATTTAGCAGCCCGAGGGAGGCAGAGCAGAGAGGACGGCGGCTGGCCCCCGCTGGGGCGAGGGGGGGCCGGGGCTGAGGCTGAGATTGGGCGCTCTCGGGGCGGCCCCCGAGCGGAGGCAGCGGCTGGCTGGTGCTCGCGCCCGCCTCCCGTGCCTGGGCCCTCCTCCCCTGCTCACTGCGAGTGTGTAGTTTCGGCGGCTCGGCGCCGACCGCCGCCGCAGCGCCAGGGAAAAGCCGGAGTCGGGGACAAGCGGCATCCCAGCGACAGCCGCCACCACTTTGGGCAAACTTGCGGGTTTTTTTTTTTTTTTTTTTTTTTTTTTTTGGTCCTGGCTGGCAGGGAGCAAGCGGGAGCTTCCTACTTGCGGTTCCGCGTCTGCGAGCCGCGGCAGCCGGAGAGGCGGCGGGAGCGCCCGCACCAGACTCTCCCAGACGCACCGAGGGACGAGACAACTGCGGAATTCGCCCGCCGTGCCAGGGCACTTCCGAGGCGACCGCCGACTGGCACTTTCTCTCCCCCTTGGCAAACTGATTTTTTCTTTCTTTCTTTCTTTTTATTTTTTTTTTAAAGCTACTTGGCAGCTGTCTCTGACTCCACCTCCGCCGCCACCCCCGCCCCGAAGCCTTTGGCTTTTCTTCGGAAATCCGGACAGAATTGGGCACCTTTGTTAATTGCCGCTGGGGGAGCCGGACCGTGCGCTTTCGCCTGGCCCACGCCGCCTGTGCAGGGAGCCTGGTTTGCTCACCTTTGAACTGCAAAAGGGATCAAGTTCAGCTAGAGTTGTCTGCGTTGGGACCGCGAGCGAGGAGAGCGAGCGTGCCGGAGAGCGAGTAGGAGAGGGGGAAAGGGAGGAGAGAGAGAGAGAGGGAGGAGAGGAGGAGACGGGGAGGGAGGCAGGGAGGGAGGGAGGGGAGGGATCGAGAGAGAGCGGGGAGAGAGAGGCTGCAATCTCCTCCCTGAATCGCGCACCGCGCTGCAGAGCCGACCGCTCTGACTTGCGGGCCGAATGCAGGTGAGGGAAGGCACGGACTCTGCGGCTGCGAACCCAAACTTGGGCACCGCGCGGTGCGCACGGCTCAGCCCACGGCCCCGCGGGCGAACGGCTGCTGCGGTTTCAGGCGGCGGCTTCGTGACTAATGACCTTGCGCAGAGTTGTTAAGAAAAAAACAGAGAGAGAGAGCGAGAGACACCCGAGCTCTCGGGGCGGGGGTGAGAAGGGACTGACTCTCCCGGCTTCTCTGAAGATGGCTCGGGCTGCTCTCTGGCGCGCCGGGGGGACCCGGACGCGGACCGCGCTGTGACGCGACTTGTCTCCACTGCACCGTGCCCAAAGCGACCTGCCGCGGATTTTTTTTTTTTCATCCCCGAGCTGTTAACCGGCTCCCCCCCTCGCCCGCTGCCTGAGCAGAGTCGGGAGTTGAGACCGGCTTGTTGCCGGCCCCCCGCGCCTCGTGCGGGAAGCGACTCACGTTCGCCTGGGCAGCCGGAGCCGGAGCAGTGGCTGGAACGTGCGTTGGACTCAACTCCTGGAGCAGCTTCAGCAAGGAGCCGCGGGGCTGGCCGGCGGGGGAGGCTGCAGGCTCGCTCCCCGCAGCCTCCTGGCTCCACCGAGCCGTTCTGGCCACCTTCCGACAGAGCCGGGGACGAGAGCCTGGGATCCTCCGCCCGCGGCGGGGATGACTGTGGGGTGGTGCGGGGGGGACCCCGAGCCCGCGGCGCGCAGTGTCCCGTGAACTGTGAGTACTGCGACCGAAGGCGGCCGGCGAGTGGGCGATTAGCACCCATTGCATGAATTATGAAACAATAACTTTCGGAAAAAGCAGGAGGAAAAAAAAGAAGAAAAAAAAAAAGAAGAGGGTTCTGTGGACGCTCCCCACCCCCTGCCCCGCAACACCCACCCTACCCATCCCACCGGCCGACTCCGCACGCCGCTCCCGCCCCCTCCCTCGCCTGCCTGTCGCCCCTCGGGGGAGGGCCGGCGGCCGGCCTCGGAGGAGGGGGTTGAGACGAGTTGTCCTTAAGAAAGGAGAAGAAGCTGAAGAAGCAGGAGAATTGCTGAGGAAGCGGACCGCGGGGTGTTCACCCACGGAGGCTTGGGTTGATGACATCCTCCTGCCCATCCTGGCTCAGCCTGGCGGCCGCCAAGCAGCTCCTACGGTACCGGCTGGCCGAGGAGGGCCCCGCGGACGTCCGCATCGGCAACGTCGCCTCGGACCTGGGCATCGTGACCGGCTCCGGGGAGGTGACTTTCAGCCTGGAGTCGGGCTCCGAGTACCTGAAGATCGACAACATCACGGGCGAGCTGAGCACGAGCGAGCGGCGCATAGACCGGGAGAAGCTGCCCCAGTGTCAGATGATCTTCGACGAGAACGAGTGCTTCCTGGACTTCGAGGTGTCGGTGATCGGGCCCTCGCAGAGCTGGGTGGACTTGTTTGAGGGTCGGGTCATCGTGCTCGACATCAACGACAACACGCCCACCTTCCCGTCGCCCGTGCTCACGCTCACGGTGGAGGAGAACCGGGCGGTGGGCACTCTGTACCTGCTGCCCACCGCCACCGATCGCGACTTCGGCCGCAACGGCATTGAACGCTACGAGCTGCTGCAGGAGCCCGGGGGCGGCGGCGGCGGCGGCGGCGGCGAGGGCCGGCGCGCTGGGGCGGCCGACAGCGCCCCCTACCCCGGGGGCGGCGGGAACGGCGCGAGTGGCGGCGGCCCCGGCGGCTCCAAGCGGCGGCTGGACGCGCCGGAGGCCGGCGGCGGGACGAGCCCCGGCGGCCGCAGCAGCGTGTTCGAGCTGCAGGTGGCGGACACCCCTGACGGCGAGAAGCAGCCGCAGCTGATCGTCAAGGGGGCGCTGGACCGCGAGCAGCGCGACTCCTACGAGCTGACCCTGAGGGTGCGCGACGGCGGCGACCCGCCGCGGTCCTCTCAGGCCATCTTGCGGGTGCTCATCACCGACGTGAATGACAACAGCCCCCGCTTCGAGAAGAGCGTGTACGAGGCCGACCTGGCCGAGAACAGCGCCCCGGGGACGCCCATCCTGCAGCTGCGCGCCGCCGACCTGGACGTGGGGGTCAACGGGCAGATCGAGTACGTGTTCGGGGCCGCCACCGAGTCCGTGAGGCGGCTGCTGCGCCTCGACGAGACGTCCGGCTGGCTCAGCGTGCTGCACCGCATCGACCGCGAGGAGGTGAACCAGCTGCGCTTCACGGTCATGGCCCGCGACCGCGGGCAGCCCCCCAAGACCGACAAGGCCACCGTCGTCCTCAACATCAAAGACGAGAACGACAACGTGCCGTCCATCGAGATCCGCAAGATCGGGCGCATCCCGCTCAAGGACGGGGTGGCCAACGTGGCGGAGGACGTCCTGGTGGACACCCCCATAGCACTGGTGCAGGTGTCCGACCGGGACCAGGGTGAGAATGGCGTGGTCACCTGCACCGTGGTGGGCGACGTGCCCTTCCAGCTCAAGCCGGCCAGCGACAGCGAGGGCGACCAGAACAAGAAAAAGTACTTCCTGCACACCTCGGCTCCGCTGGACTACGAGGCCACGCGGGAGTTCAACGTGGTCATAGTGGCGGTGGACTCTGGCAGCCCCAGCCTCTCCAGCAACAACTCCCTCATTGTCAAGGTGGGCGACACCAACGACAACCCTCCGGTCTTTGGCCAGTCAGTGGTCGAGGTCTACTTCCCCGAAAACAACGTCCCCGGGGAGCGGGTGGCCACGGTGCTGGCCACGGACGCCGACAGCGGGAAGAACGCCGAGGTCGCCTACTCGCTGGACTCGTCCGTGCTGGGGGTCTTCGCCATCGACCCCGACTCTGGGGACATCCTCGTGAACACCGTGCTGGACCGCGAGCAGACGGACAGGTATGAGTTTAAAGTAAACGCCAAAGACAAAGGCATCCCGGTGCTGCAGGGCAGCACCACGGTGATCGTGCAAGTGGCTGATAAGAATGACAATGACCCCAAGTTTATGCAGGACGTCTTCACCTTTTATGTGAAAGAAAACCTGCAGCCCAACAGCCCGGTGGGGATGGTCACTGTGATGGATGCTGACAAGGGGCGGAACGCGGAGATGAGTCTATACATCGAGGAGAACAGCAACATTTTTTCTATTGAAAACGACACAGGGACCATTTACTCCACCATGTCCTTTGACCGGGAGCACCAGACCACATACACTTTCAGAGTGAAAGCTGTGGATGGGGGAGATCCTCCTAGGTCTGCCACAGCCACAGTGTCTCTCTTTGTGATGGATGAAAATGACAATGCCCCCACAGTCACCCTGCCCAGAAACATTTCCTACACTTTGCTGCCACCTTCGAGTCATGTCAGGACAGTAGTAGCCACCGTGCTGGCGACAGACAGCGATGATGGCATCAACGCAGACCTGAACTACAGCATTGTGGGAGGGAACCCCTTCAAGCTGTTTGAGATTGACTCCGCCAGTGGTGTGGTTTCCTTGGTGGGCAAACTCACTCAGAAGCATTATGGCTTGCACAGGTTGGTGGTGCAAGTGAACGACAGTGGGCAACCTTCCCAGTCCACCACCACGCTGGTGCATGTGTTTGTCAATGAAAGCGTCTCTAACGCCACCGTGATCGACTCCCAGATAGCCAGAAGTCTGCACACCCCACTCACCCAGGATATAGCCGGAGACCCAAGCTATGAGATTAGCAAACAGAGACTCAGCATTGTCATTGGGGTGGTTGCTGGCATTATGACAGTGATCCTGATCATCTTGATTGTAGTGATGGCCAGGTACTGCAGGTCCAAGAGCAAAAACGGCTATGAGGCCGGCAAAAAAGATCACGAAGACTTTTTTACACCCCAACAGCATGACAAATCTAAAAAGCCCAAAAAGGACAAGAAAAACAAAAAATCCAAGCAGCCTCTCTACAGCAGCATTGTCACTGTAGAAGCTTCTAAACCAAATGGACAAAGGTATGATAGTGTCAATGAGAAGCTGTCAGACAGCCCAAGCATGGGGCGCTACAGATCTGTTAATGGTGGGCCTGGCAGTCCTGACCTGGCCAGGCATTATAAATCCAGTTCCCCCTTGCCTACTGTCCAGCTTCACCCCCAGTCACCAACTGCAGGGAAAAAACACCAGGCCGTACAAGATCTACCACCAGCCAACACATTTGTGGGAGCAGGAGACAACATTTCTATTGGATCAGATCACTGCTCTGAGTATAGCTGTCAAACCAATAACAAGTACAGCAAACAGGTAAGATGCATCTCGAATTTATTTTAAATATCCCAGAGAGGGCTAAAAATCTCATGAGACAGATCTTCTGTGTTTAAAGTAACTGTTCATAATTTTCTTAAGGGTCGGAATGTGACAGTCATTCATGCACCATTAATTTAGCAAAGGCAACTTCAAGAAGTGTGCCAGTGTATTTTGCAAGTTCACTAAGTTACTAAAGGAAACAGTCAGAGTAAGCAGTGTGCTATACTTTTCTTTGCACTTGACAGCCTAGTTTATCCTACAGTTTCTGTTTTCAAAATAAATATGTTTAGATTGTTTGGATGGTTATTTTTACCCTGAAATTATTTTCTTTTGTGGCAATTATTGGATAATTGCATCCAGAGAAAAAATTCTAAAGTTGCTGCTGTATCTATGCAAATTGGACACCATAAAAGTTTTAGCTATGTTCTGCATAATTCAGGATTCCATAGATATGCAGATGCTGCTTCTCAGAAATGTAGTGCAAATTCTGAAATACTGAAATGTTGACTTCTTTGACAAGACTGCTAGTTTAGAAATATTTACTGATATGCAAGTGTTTTACAAAACCACATTTCTAGCACTTTTGATCTGTAACGATAGTTATAACAGGTTCCTATAATGATATGCAACCAGCATTTTCATTCTTCATGTTTGATATTAAAAGTTCATAAACAAAAATAGATTGCTCAGCCATTTGTCATTTAGGTCAGATGTGCAAGATTATTTTGATACTCCTTGTGATATACTGAGAATATAAGTGCTATATGGAACATTTGACAGAGTTGTTCCCTGGGTAAATGTGGAAACAAACATATGTGTGTATATATATATATACATATATATGTGTGTATATATATATGTATATGTACATATATATTATTTGAAGGGAATTTCAGAAAATACCAACTTTATTGTTGAAAGTTTTGATCTTGTGACATATAATTCTCAGGGAGTTTACTTTTTTTACCTACCGAAGTTTGACACACAGCAAACAAAACCTTTGTAAACTGCTGTGTCTAATACTGCAACAAACTCAGTTGATGAAACAACACTTGCTTCTTAAAAACTGCCAGAGTTCATTTCAAGAAACATATTTATGAGTGTCAAGTCACATAATTTTTCTGTTAGATTCATTTTGGGTGTGCTGTGTGTGATCTGAGAAGAATTAAGGTAAAGGAAACAGTTATTTTCTAGCCTCATTAAAGTTGTTATAGAAAAGAGGTGGTAATTCTTATTGCTTTCATAATTATTAAAATTATTTTCTTAAAGAAATAATTTCTGTGTATGGTACTTCACTGTAGCTATTTGGATAATGAGAGACAGACTTAACATGCTTTTATATTCAATAACAAAAGCAATCCAAGACAACTTAGGTTTGAACTGCATCCCATTAAGCGGCTTTTGAAAATATGCCTTTGCATGCATGTGAGCTTGAATTATTTATTTCTTTCAAGCCAAAATTTGACATGCTGGAGAGTTTATATCTGTCATGTTGTTGATTCACCTGGAGTTAGGGAAACAAAGTTTTGTTTTGTTTCTGATGCTTTATCAGTTGTTTAAACAAGGAAAATCCCTGTTCCAGCAATAGCTCTTTTCCAAGGTTAGTTATAAATACCCACAAATGCATTGAGATCTATAGTAATTTCCCTTGAAAATGGAAACAGGGTAATACAAAAAACCAGTGTGATGAGATCTTTCTTTCTGCAGTGTTTACTTACTTGTCAGCGATTATCTTAATAGTACTTTTGGCCTGTGACTGAGTGGCATTTCTCATTCTAAGTCATGTAATCTTATGCTGTTGAATGGACAAATCAAGCAGCAGATTTATAGATATTTTATTCAAGCACTTCATATGCTCTGTCCTGTCACTTAAGCTTCATTTGCCTCATCAGATAAGGTTAGCTCTATTCTTGAATATCTAAAACAGCCAATATCAAGACTGCTGGAATCCTGTTTAAAAGGGAAAACTATATGCTTATAAATAGACTAATGTATAGTGTCAGTCTCTCAACTGAGTAAAATCCATATACCCAAAGAAGAAATCCACAAAGCAATTTGAATGAATCACACAGTTTGCCAAAAGTCACTTTGGAAAATGTGTGTGTCTTAGGCATCCAAAAGAAAAAAAGTTAGAACAACAAGTAAGTAGTTAACCTAAAATGAAATAAAGCCAATTGAAACACATTCCCCTTAATGTAATTAGTGATAGTAATTGATAGGCTTCATCTTCTCAATATTGCTGTCAAGGGACAAGGGATCCATTTACCAAGTACATGCTGTTTAGACATCTGACACAAGTGGGATTCTTTTTGTTCTGATTTTTGTTTGGACCATAAGTAGATGGTTTTCTATTTATTTGTAAAATGTAATACCCTAAATTTTTACCAAGTTCCCAAAATAAATTTCCTTTGATTAAGCTTGGATTAAAAAAAAAGAAAAGAAGGTTTTTGTTATAATTCCTCCTTTGTTAAGTGAATTTTTCTCAGGAATAACTTGAGGACTATAGCCTTTCAATTCCTTACAGGAAGGATCCATTAAAAATCTGAGATTTGTTTGCTCTTAAGTCTTCATTTCACTCATAGTTTTCCCAAATTACCTTATCATAGTTCTGTATTTGTGATAAAGTGTAAGTGATGCCTCTTAACTGTGTTCTCATCTTCCTGAGAGTCAGACATTTTTGAAGTGTGTCTCCTAAGTGGCGTTAGTGGTTACACTATAATAACTTAAGCAGCTTTGTAGAAATGATAGTTTGTAAGTAATACTCACCCCCCCACCCCCACACCTTGGATTGTATTCATAGACTCTAGTGAAATTCAAATCAACCTTCTATGGTTACTGTTTGGCCCACTGGGAGCTGGGTGTTACAGAGTTGCTGGAATTATTTCTGAAATTCACACATCAGAAAACTGAAGAGGAAGCCCAGTTTTTCCTAGTTCATACCTTTGCAATTCAAACAAAAGCTTTCTGTCTCAATTAAGTAATGTGTTTAGCTGAGCAAAATGGGTATCATCGATGGCATTATTGAGAATAAGAGCCACCTTTCTATTTCATACTTTCCTTTGCATGGAGAACTTGTCTTTATGCTTCTTAAAGTTTTGGAACTTAGAAGAATAACTGTGCTTTAGATTTGTAAAATAAAGGAAACTGCATTTTATTTGTCTATTTATTTTAAAATCTCCACTGTTTTTATTTTTTGGCAAGTATTTTTAAGTTTCCTTAAAACACAGAATTCCAAAACATTGATACCCAATATAATAGAACAGTTACTAGTTTATGTATTATTCTCAAGTCTTGTTGAGCCCATCCTTGACATGCTGCTATTTAGATAATGCACTTGCACGTAAAATTTTTATTGTATTTAATAAATGGAAAATGAGGTAATTTATTTTTGGCAAGAATTTAGCTTGAGTAAACATTTGTTTAAAAATCCATTTGCAGCGGCTGATGCTGAAATACTCAAGGAAAAAAAAATATATATTAACTACAGTGACCGACCATTTCCCTTAGTAAGGAACTGATGAATTGGGCTGAATAAAGGATCACTTCAGTTTCTCAAAATATGTTCAATATATTCACTGTATACTTAACAAAAAGATATGGTAGAATTTATTTTTCAAACCACTTCCATTTTGGAAGAAAATGGATGGCTTGCCATTATCTATTAGAGTATACGCAGGAAGAAGACTGAGTGTCAATTTGTATACGTGTGTGCAACACCGTACATATTTTAGTGAAAATGCATCTACAAGTTAGCCACAGTTTCCAGTTTTGATTCTTTAAGTGGAATTTCTCCAATATGGTTATCTCGTGTGCCCCCAAGGGGTCTTTCACAAAGCATGATGACTCTGCATATGATGAGATCTCTGTTACATTTGACCTGTATCATAGGCAAGAGGCTAGAAGCTGATAGAAGGTAGGCCTTATCTGTAGGGGGGAGATTTATTCTAAAGCACTGTTCCCTGGATGTTTGGATGTCTATGAAATGAAGAAAAGACCAACCACTGATTTGATATGCAGTAAATATGTAAATTTGTATGAAAATCCACATGTGAAAGTGAAACCTTATCTTAAACTCACCCTAAATGAACTAGTGACTGAGATAAAAAAAAAAGTACGAATTCAATTTGAAGATTTTAAGTAAGTCATAGCATGGTAAATATAGTAAAATCGTTATATCTTTGAATAATTACAAATCTCATATTTGAAAAGTACACACATCATATATGAATATATCACAAACTCTTTTTTTGTACACATACAGACATACACATATAAACACACGCAAATTCATGCATACTAACTAGGGTCCCATTGGTTTTTTGTCACAAGATTCATTGATAATGTAAAAAAAAAGACCTGACCTTTAAATATATACAATAAGTCAAAGTAAACTATGCATACTGTAACCAACAGTTTAATGGGGTACTGAAAATCACAAGTCAGCATGGTTGACACAGTTATAGAAGAGGAGGATGAGGCCTAACATAAAAAAAAAATTTGATTGAGACCACAAAATTATCAGATATGCAGTAGACCAGAATCCTCATGGAATGCTGATTCTAATGGTTTTATTTTTCTGTTATCTTATCACACTATCTTGAGGGAGAAAGCTGAGTCCCCAAAACTTTCTCTCTGTATATTACAACAGGAACTGGAATGTATTCAGGCTTACTGATGTATTTACCACTGTGTATTTAGCTTTGAAAACTGAGCATTTTACAATAAAATGTAATTCTGTTTGGCTCCAGTTGCTACAAGTAAGTTATCCATGAAATTATAACTGAAAATTTAGACTTTTAGAAGAAATTATAGTTCCTTCCGCTGTATAAATACCAGTTGATATGCAATAAGATAACACCATGGTTAAGAATACGTGTTCAGCAAGTCTATTGACGGGATTTTTGATTTTAGCAGAATAATGATAACAGACCTAAGTTCTTAGGCAGCATTTGGTATATCTTCAATAGACTGTATGTTAGTAGAAAAGAAAAAAAATT